GTGTTTGAATATTAAATGTAATGAAATATTGTGAACTACTTTATAAAATAAAAAAAGTATTTAAAAAAAAGAAAAAACCCGAGGCCACGAATGTGATTCAGTGGTAAAGTACATGTTTCTCATCTGTGAAGCCCTGGGGTCAATCCCTGACACAGCAGAGGAAAGAAAGGGAAAAAATGGATAACAGAGGCCAAAATGTCCATTGATGAAACTGCTGCACACGCTGGAGTCCCTGGCGGTCTGCTCTTTCCTCAGGGGGAGGGGCACTCTCCAGACTGTTCTGATCAGCACACACAGACTGGAGAAGGCAGGTACCCCAGTGGCTACTGACCCCACGGCAGATGTCTCAGTTCTCCTCACAGCCCACTGCTAGACTCCAGGGTTACCACAGCTCTGGTGTGTCAGGCTTGTTTGTTCCTGACGCATTTCTTAGTAAAACAAGGATCATCTGACATTAATTTGGGTCCCCCAAAACAAAAAGAAAGCTAGTCAGGAGAGGAACACAGAATGACCTCTTTCATAAGATGTAAAGAAACATAGTAAGGTGACAACAAATACCCAAAGACAAAATATACTGAGAGAACTAGTCACCAGTAGGAAGCATAGCACTGTAGGGGGATGAGGGAGGACAGGATGGAGCGGGGACACTGGGACATGGCAGAGAGAGGCAGACTGGTGGTGGGGGGGAGAGGGGGAGTTGTGACAAAATGTTTTCTGAAGGAAACCCTACCATTATCAATGCTGTAAATCAGTGTCCCAAATAATTTTTTTTAAAAGATGGTCTCTGGATTTCAATTGTTACCACTTTTCTTTTCCAATTGCAAATGAGAGCATGGAGAAACAGAGCAGAAAAGGGACTGTCATCTGTCACACCCCTGGCCAAACTCCAAACTCCTGTACCAAGAAGTGCAGCGGGCTGGAGAGTAGTGTGCACTACAGCACTCCCTCACAACAAGCCCAACTCGCTTCCAGTGGGGCCACCTCCTGGTCTGTCCTCTGTGCTCCTTGTCAAATGTCAGTACCCAGAAGAGCCCTGAGTTCCTGGACAGCGCAATTTCCTTCAAGGAATAAGTGATGAGACAAGGTACACAAACAGACCCGAGGCAGGGCTGTGCTAGGCAACTGTGGGCTCTGGCTCCCTATGGACATGCAGTGAGCTCCCTCCTTCTGCTGCTATGCAGTTACACTACAGAAACAGACTGTCTGGCCTTTATCCAATAACCTTTGAAGGTCTGAAACACCAAGGTGTCTCTTCCTGGGTACAGTGGTGGAATTTTCTAGTTAAATTACAAGATGAAAGAGCACACATCATTGGATGATGCCCAGTGTCTCTGATCAGGTGGAAGAAGTGACCATCCAGCAGCCCTGGATGAGAGAATTCTCTGGCTGCTCATTCTGCCACACTCCCAGCACTGCAGCTATGCCCGACATTCTCGTTCCACTCCAACTCACAGCTCTGAAACAGAGACTCTGCAGGCACTCTCTGGCCACCAAGTTTCCCTGTCAACCGCACCCTCACTTCCTTAGCTGCCCTTTCCTGCATGACCAGTACAAATCGCTTGTTCTTTCGTTTTGTGGGGTTTTCTTGATGACTATCTTTTCATTTTGACACTGTCCCTCTATGATCTGTGATGGCTTGGTGATGAAATTCCCCCTCTCCCAAACAACAAGTTCTACACAGGCAAGATGCACAGCCACCAGTGTAGCCCCATCTGAAGCGGTGCCCACCTCATGGGCCTGCAGGCAGCATTCTCCTTGGGGTTCACTCTGGGCCCCCTTCTGGGTGGGGTCACTGCTCGCATGCTTCGAACACAAATATCACTGTTTCCAATGATAGGCCTTCCTCTGTGGTAAAGCAAGTACTTAGTTTGACCTTCTCTTCAAATATGGCTAGGCTAGCATGCACTTAAAAAATGGAAAGAGGGGCTGGAGTAATAGCACAGCGGGTAGGGTGTTTGCCTTGCACGCGGCCAACCCGGGTTCAATTCCCAGCATCTCATATGGTCCCCTGAGCACCGCCAGGAGTAATTCCTGAGTGCAGAGCCAGGAGTAACCCCTGTGCATTGCCAGGTGTGACCCAAAAAGAAAAAAAAAATTTTAAAAAAAATGGAAAGAGGGGTCAGAGCAATAGTACAGCAGGTAGTGAGTTTGCCTTGAACGTGTCCGACCTGGGCTCAATTTCTGGCATCCCATTTGGTTCCCTAAGCACCGCCAGGAATAATTCCTGAGTGCAGAACCAGGAGTAATGCTGGGCGTGGAAAGAAATTCTGAGCAGGGATCTAGCTAGAATTAAACTGAAGTTAGAGTTTCATACAGAAGGTACTGACAACTTCAGAATACTGAATCCTCGTATTTTATCTTTAATTTATAGATTTTATGTTTCTTCTTTGGCACCCTTTTAGCTATTGTAAATGGTGTCGTTTAAAACATTACATTTCTATAACTGAAACCCAAGCACTGGGACTGGAGTGACAGCACAGCGGGTAGCGCGTATGCCTTACATACGGCCAAGCCGGGTTCGATTCCCAGCATCCTGTGTGCAGAGCCAGGAGTAATCCCTGTGCAATGCCAGGTGTGACCCAAAAAGAAAAAGAAAAAAAAAGAAAAGAGAAACCCAAGCACAAGCACAAAAAAATTGTAAGTCTACAACTGTACCTCATGGTGTTTCACTAATAAAAATTTTTTTTAAAAAAAAGAAAAATAAAGGCTGAAAAATAAATAAATAAAACATCACATTTCTTCTTTATTGTTACTCTTATATCCAGAAGTTCTAGAAAATGCCTATTCTAAAATTTTCTATAGATTCTCAAGTTTTCCATATAGACCTTTGCAAACAATAGCAGCTTCTTCCAATTATGCCATTTAATCTTACTGTATTATCTTTTTTTTTTAATGTAGGAGTACTGCTATTTATTCACCACTGATTAGGCTGATTGAATTGGGCATGAATTCCACTGTATTATCTTTTATAGTCACTACAACAGTCAATAAGTAACTAGTAACAAAATGGCAATGTCTTGTTCATGATTCCAAAAAGAAAACTTTTAGAGTTAATTTTTGTCACCTTCTTGCAGATTAAGAAGTTCTCTCAGGTTCAATTCCCAGCATCCCATATGGTCCCCTGAGCACCTCCGGGAGTAATTTCTGAGTGCATGAGCCAGGAGTAACCCCTGTGCATTGCCGGGTGTGACCCAAAAAGCAGGGGAGGGGGTTAGGAGAAGAAGTTCTCTCCTAAGAGCCTGAGCATTTGCCTTGAAGGCGGCCAGACCAGGTTTGATCTCGGGCATCCCATATGGACCCCCCGAGCAACACCAGGAGTAATTCCTGAGCATGGAACCAAGAGTAACCAGGTATGAGCCCAAAACAAACCCAACAAAAAGCAAAAAGTTTCAGGATGTTTGGAGGATCCTCCCAGGAGGGGAGATGCATGTCGAAAGTAGACTATGGACTGAACATGTTTGCCACTCAATGCCTCTTTTGCAGACCACAACACCCAAAAGGAGAGAGAGAACACAGGGGATTGCCCTGCCACAGAGACAGGGGGGATGGGGGGATGGGGGTGGGAGGGATATTATCCATGGTGGTGGAAAATGGGCACTGGTGGAGGGATGGGTATCTGATCATTGTATAATTGAAACCAAAGCACAAAAAATTGTAAATCTACAACTGTAAAAAAAAATAAAATAAAATAAAGGGGAAAAAAAAAAAAAAAGCAAAAAGTTTCCTCCTATTCCTGGCATAATACTTTTTATCAGAGAACTGAATTTTACCAAATTTTCTCTCCACCTATTAGGATAATCATTTAATTTGTTATACCATAGATTTTTCTAACATTACACCACACTTTGCTAAGAAAAGTTCTACCCATTACTCATGAAGGCACATGATTATGGTGCCTATTCCCTTTTTTCAGGAAGTGGGGGTGTTGTTTGAGGGCCACAGCTTACTCCTCGCTCTGTGCTCAGGAATCACTCAGGAGTATTCACTCAGGTGTACTGCTCAGGACAATCACTCAGGAATCACTGCTGGTGGTGCTCAGAGGACTATCTGCCATGCTGGGGGTTGAAACTGGACTGGCCAAGTGCAAGGCAAGTGCCTATTTGGGGCCCTATCTCTCTGGCTCACCCTCTGGTTCTATTTTTTTTGGGGGGGTCACATCTGGCAATGCACAGGGTTTACTCTTGGCTCTAAACTCAGGAATTACCCTAGGCGGTGCACAGGGAACGATAGGGGATGCTGGGAATCGAACCTGGGTTGGCTGTTTGCAAGGCAAATGTCCTACCCTCTATGCTATTGCTCCAGGCCCAACTATTTTTTTTTTTAATGACAAACTGGAATCTTTAGAATGTGCTAAAAGACTGCGTAATCTGTAGGAATAATTAAAATTATTCAAATATTTTAGTGATTAATATTGTTATTTTCCTTCTAAATATCTTGGAAAAAGCCAGGAGGGAGGTAAGAGGTTAGGGTGCAAGCTGATGTGTCCAAGCTGAGTTTGATTCTAGGCCCACATGGTCCCAGAGTATCAATGAACGCTGCCCTGGAGGCTGGCCCCTCACGCCTTCTCCCAGCACAGTGGGGTCTGAACAGCATCACATCCTCAGTCCCCTGTATGGAATTATGGGCCTGGACAGCTGAGAATCACCATGGAGCCCCTGAGCACTACTTGGGAAGCCCAAAGAAAATGAATTGAAACTAAAAGCCAGATCAAGTAAAAGTGAAATAAATAATCATGGAAGTGAGTGCGTATGGGAGCAGTGTCAGGCTGGAGCAGATTCTGTGCATGCATACACCCTGTATTCATAACTGCAAATCAGTTGCAGTTATAACTGCAATGCTCACCCAGAGTCAAATGTTAAGAACTGGGTCAACTTCCAACAAAGCCATCCGAATGAAACCTACTTCCTGCTGTCTAGGATATTTTTCTTCCACTCTGAAAGGACACTTCTGAGTAGCACAGAATGCAAAGGCAAGTCTATTTGCTTCCCTGGGTTACTAACCTCATCCCTGTGCTTCTGACAGAAGACCAAAAACTGGGATGCTGCATCTCCCTTTCTGCTTCTCGGAGTAGAGGCTGGGGCCTTCTTCCTTCCAGGAGGAGAGCCGACTCCTCTCTTGGTACCAAGCTCTGCCGTCTTTTGAGGAGTGCTCTTTACTGTCCCAGGCTCAGTTTCATGGTTCTCACCACAACTCGCCAACTTGGCCCGTCGCCTTCGCTTGATGGGAATGCCCTCTTCTCTTGGGGATTTGGGCCCCTCAGAGGCTTCCTCGCTGCCTCCTGAGGTCCCCACCATTCCTCCTGGAGACTCTGTAGCAATGCCAGCCTCCTTAGCTACATGAGGGTTAAGATGAAGCTGGTCTCCCACATAGATGAAGGTAAACTTGGCTTTCCGCTCCTCTACGGACATGCTGGCAGCTTCTTCAGCTTGGACAATGCCCATTTCCCACTGAGCCCTCAATTTCCCTGAAATAGGTTTCAAGAGCTGCAAAGAAAAACACCAGGTACTCATTACAGAAACAATAGCGCTGACTGACTTTAAGAATGGAGACATGCAAAATTTTAGATACATTTAGAAATTCCTAGTTATAAAAACCAGGAATGTGAAAGTATCATGAAACTGTCAACCCAATATAATAAATTTATTATTTCTTTAAACTAGAAAATCAATCATCATCATATAACTAATATACTACACATATACATTATATACAGTATTATGTATCTTAAAAAGGGAAAACATAAAACAAATTATTTCTCGGAATCATTGAAATAGTTAAAAAAGGAAAAACTGTCTCTAAAGAAACTGTTCATGTCTTACAATAACGGGAAAAGGTAAACAGAGAAAGGCTTAATAGAGTCATGACAATGCTTCATGCAACCATAAGGTATGAAACAAGACAAATAATAAACAGTTTTTTTCAAAAATTGTATTGAAGGAACATCTATCACCTTAATTTTCTCAGCTTTTGTGGGTGCCTGCTTGGCACTCTCCTGGCATAATTTCTCAAACTGTCCTTCTCCTTCAAAAGCTACCAGGCTCTTCTCAAATATCCATGCTCTTTCTGGGGCATCACCGAAGAACTGGACATGATACTGGCGGGCACTCTTTTTCTGACCTAGTTTTTAAAATGAAATGTTAAAACTTCAAAGTTAGAATCTGGGATGAAATAAAGTAAATGGGATGAAATAAAGTAAATCTATTAATAATTACAGATATGTAGTTAGGAGCTGCTTTGAAGTTTTCTATTTGTTGTTGAATTTGTTAACTTCAAAACAAATCCTACTTTTTTTTAACCTCACAGGTTTTTTGCCAAAGAGATTTATGACATTAATGACACTCTGGTAAAGTTCAAACTGATCAATAAAGAAAGGTGTCAAAACATGCTCCTTCATTTTATTCCCTCCCAAGATCCTCTAAAAAAGACAACAAGTAAGAAATAAAGAAAGGCGCTGGAGTGATAGCACAGCAGGTAGGGTGTTTGCCTTGCACGCAGCCCAACCCAGGTTCAATTCCCAGCATCCCATATGGTCCCCCGAGCACGGCTAGGAGTAATTCCTGAGTGCATGAACTAGGAGTAACCCCTGTGCATCGCTGAGTGTGACCCAAAAAGAAAAAAATAAATAAATAAAGAGGGAGATCAGTAAGAGAGCCACTCAAAAGAAATAGGACTGGGTCAGAGAGATAGTACAGTGGGAAAGGTACTTGCCTTGCATGCGACTGACCTGGGTTCAATCCCACGCACCCCATATCATACCCCAACCACCAGTAGGAGTAATTTTTCAGTGCAGAGCCAGGAGTAAGCCCTGATCATCACCAAGTGTGGTCCAAAAAAAAAAAAATGAAAAAAGGAAAACAAGACCACAGGCCGGGAGCTAGCTCAAAGGGCTAGAGCACATATCTTGCCTGAATGACTAAGTGTTACCACTGGAGACCCCTAAGCATCACTGGGTGTAGCTCTGGAGGCTCTCAATACTGCTGAGCAATACCACATCACCAGGCCTGAGCTCTGACCTCAGGAGCAATCCCTGGAACTCCCAAGCACTACTTGGGATGCCCCTTTAATAGCAAGAAATAAGGCAACAATACACTACCACTTGGTCTGGGCTTAAAGTCTAGCCCTACTACCTAGCTGGCTGGACTGACTAATGGAGCAACAGGAGCATGAAAACACTGATGACATCCAAGGGCAGACCAAAGGCCTCAGGGAAACTCCTTAGACATTCACTGCTGTGACTCTAAGCAGAACAGAAGAAACCACATGCTATGTGCAGCCAGGGAGCCTGAAAGAGGAAAAGGCTTGAGACCTGAGAATCCAGGAGAGGGAGAAAATGTCTGACAGAGCTGATGTGAGTGAGGCTGAATAAGGTCAGCTTTCTATGCCCAGTGGAGGGTTCTGTGCAGGCTAGTGCCTATTCCCTCATACAGAATGCTGTCAAAGAATCCAATGGAAACTTTCGAGAGCACTGTTTCACATTCTAGAAAAAACCTCTCCCCCAACTAAGTGGCCAACAGTACAACACAGCCGACCCCTCTGAAACAAGCTCTTAAGTCTCCCTAGGGGCTCACGCAGTGGACAGCAGTGCTGCCATTCCAATGTGACACCAGAATGCAGGAGTTCCAGCACAAATGAACCCAAACAGAGATCAACAGGCCTTTAGGGTTACAGACACATCAGGGAAAGAAGACACCTAACAGGACAATAAAACAAACAAGGGCTGAAGAGATGAAGGCAGCAGACAGGGCTGGCCTTGCATGGGGCTGACTACAGTTCACTACGCAGCACCACATTAGATTCCCTAACTACCGTCAAGAGTGATCTTAGGGAGTATGGTGCAGCCAGCAGGTCAATCTGTACCTGTGAGGCGAGTGCATCAGCCTTATGGTGCCTTCAGACTTCCAGATACCCCAAAATTGCTGCTATGCCTTTAGCCAGACTCCAAAAACTCTGGGCAAGGTTTACCAAGAAAGTAAACGGCCAAAAGTTAGGTATGTGGGAGACACACCCACGAACCACCTCCAGCTCAGCTATATAATTGGAGGCATGGCCTCTCTGGTTCCTGATCGAACTGTTTAATGACCATGATCCCAGAGACTCAGAAACATCTCAAAACCCTGTGGCTTTTGGCAGAAATGTGTCCAGTCCCTGCAGTAGGTTACAGGCGCAGGGCCACCCCAGGTGGGAATAGGTTTCATGCGTTAGCCTGTTTTCCCTGGTGGCCCGTGGCCACCATCCTCCAGAGGCCACTGGACAGTCAGGTTTGGGCCCACAGTAACAAGACACGTGGGGTCAATGGGATTGGGGCGGAGCTGGCCCTTTCCTCCCCATCCCAACAAGACCCCAAACGGCCTCTCTGGCTCCTGATCAAGCTGCTGAGCGACCATGATCTCAGAGACTCAGAAACAAATCTCGGAACCCACTGGCTTTTGGCAGAAATGTGTCGGGACCACGCAATAGGTTACTGCCGCCGGGCTACCCCAGGGGGGAAAGGGCACTCTCCCTCCGCCTGCTCCCTGTTGGCGGCTCAGTGGCCACCATCCGCCAGAGGCCATTGGACAGTCAGGTTCAGGCCTGCAGTGACGAGACACATGGAGCCTCACAGGATGGGTGTGGAGCGGGCCCTTTCCCCCCTACCCCAATGAGACCCCGAGTCGCCACCCACTAATGGCCTCTCTGGCTCCTGATAAAGCCGTTTAATGGCCATGATCCCAGAGACTCAGAAACAAATCTTGAAATCCACTGGCTTTTGGCAGAAATGCATCTGGACCACGCAGTAGGTTAGCGTTGCCGGGCCACCCCAGGGGGGAAAGGGTGCTGTCCCTCCACCTGCTCCCCTTTGGCAGCTTGGTGGCTGCCATCCACCAGAGGCCATTAGACAGTCAGGTTTGGGCCCCCAGTGATGAGACACGGGGGGCCTCACGGGATAGGGGTGGAGCCGGCCCTTTCCTCCCCACCCCAACAAGATCCCGAGTTGCCGTCCACGAACGGCCTTTCTGGCTCCTGATCAAGCTGCTTAACAGTTATGATCCAAGAGACTCAGGAACACATCTCGAAACCCAGCAGGTTTTGGCAGAAATCCCTCCAGATTTAATTGTTAAAATTTCGGAATTTCAAAATCGCACGGCCACTACAGCAGCCACTCGACATAATATGTTATTCATAACCAGCAATAGAAAACAAATTGTCTACTGTTGCCTTTTCAGCAGATCTGAGTGTTGGGGTAAAATCCCAAATAATAATGGTGGGTCTGGTGTCAAAATATTGAATATAATCAAAGTAGAGAGAGAGTAATGTGAAAATCATCTGCCCCACAGATAGGGGGAGGGTATATACTGGGGGATATACTGGGGTTAAGACTTGTTGTTACTGTGTTTGGCATATTGAATACGTCACGGGTAGTTTGCCAGGCTTTGCCATGCGGGCAAGATACTCTCGGTAGCTTGCCAGGCTCTCCGAGAGGGGCGAAGGATCTCGGTAGCATGCCAGGCTCTCCGAGAGGGGCGAAGGAATCGAACCCGGCTCGGCCGGGCCGGCTGTGTGCAAGGTAAATGCCCTACCACTGTGCCATGGCATTTAAACACTATGGTTTACCAAGTTGTTCATGATACAGTTGTTTCAGTAATTCAATGTTCCAACACCAATGCTATCACCAGTGTGACTAAACTATAATTCAAACACTCTTAAGCAGGACACATCTTTGTGTCATTCAAGTTGCTGGGGGAAAGGAAGACAACAAAATCCATACTAGTAAAACTGACAGGACAAAGTACTTCCAAGAATACCCCTGGATGCTGAAAGAAATATAGCAATATCTTTGAAATTCTGAGAATTGTGTTCAGTATAAAACTCTGCAAATATGCCAGAGCAACAGTACGGCAGGTAGGGCATTTCCCATGTACCTGACCAACCCGAATTCTACCCCCAGTATCCCAATATGGTCCCCGAGCCTGCCAGGAGTGAGCCCCGAACATCATTGGGTGTGGCCCAACACCCTGAGTAAATAAATTAGCACTGGTTCCAATCCTATTAATGGCACACACACTACATTCTTAAAGTTGTAGTATGATTTTTTGGCTTTTGAGGCCACAGCTGATGGTATTCAGGGTACCCCTAGGCAAGGCTGGATTCCCAAAAGGGTCACGGGCCCTTCTAGCCTGACACCTAACTTTTATACTTCCTCTCCACCCTGCTTCAAGGATTCTTTAAGTGCCCCAGGCACCAACTTAGAGTCGCAAGTTTTAAGACTTCAAAGATGGTCACATCCAGTTTTACTTCTTCCCACAGGCCCAATAAAATAAACTAGGACACTTTCCTAACTCAGAGTGAAAATACCATTTCTGGCTTAGTGGCAGAATGTATTCCTCACCTGTGGAAGGCCCCCTTGCAATACCAGAACACCTCACAAGAAAGAAAAAGTGTTGGAATGATGGTACAGTGGTTGGGATACATGTTTTGCATATGGCCAATGGAGGTTCAATCTTTGGCATTTCACATGATCCCCCAAGCTCACCAGGAGTGATCCCCAAACACAGAACCAGAATAAGCCTTGAACACAGCTGAGTGTGGCCCCCAAACAAAACAAATAAAAAATATACAAAATATATGCATGGTAAAGACTATTTCTCCTTTATCACCACTCAACCAGATGAAGCACATATACCAAAGGGTTATTAAAAAAAAATGGTGGAGTGACCAGAGCAATGAGACAGTGAGTAGGACACTTGCCTTGGACACAGCAGATCAGTGCTTAATTGCCGGCATCCCATATGGTCCCTTGAGCACCGCTAGGAGAGATCCCTGTGCATAAGGTCAAGAGTAAGCCCTGGGGGGCTGGAGCGATAGCACAGTGGGTAGGGCCTTTGCCTTGCACGCAGCTGACCCGGGTTCAAATCCCAGCATCCCATATGGTCCCCTGAGCACCGCCAGGAGTAACCCCTGAGAATCGCCGGGAGTGACCCAAAAAGCAAAAAAAAAAAAAAAAAAAAAAAAAAAGAGTAAGCCCTGAACATCACCAGCAGTGAGCCAACACCCCCTTCCCCACCAAATAAATGATGGAGACCAGAGAGCTACAACTAAATGGTGACAGTGCATGTTCTTCATGTAGGAGGCTCAGGTTCAACCCATTGCACTGCATGGTCCCTAAGCACTTTCAGGAGTGATCCCCGAACACTGAGCCAGGACAGTCCTGAGAAACATCAGGTAAAACCGAAAACCACAAAATGTCAAGGTTTCATATTTGAATCAATCATTCTACTACGTAGCCATAGTAGACCAATAAAAAAAAACCTGACTAAAAGGAACAAAGAATTAAATGGACATTTCTCCCAGAGAAACATAAATGGCCAACAAGCACATGAAAAGACTTTCCACATCACTGATAAAATATAAAGCAAACCACAATGAGCTACTAGCTCATACTCAGCAGAAGGCTACTATAATAAACATAAGACACATACTGACAAGGGTGGGTAGATGCTGCGACTGTGGGCTAAGTGGGTGGGAATATACACTAGTGTGGTACCAAAAAGAGTAAGGAGGCTTTTAAAATCAAAAAGATAGGGCAGGGGATGAAGAAAAAGTACAGCAGAAAAGGTGCTCGCCTCGCACATGGCTCACCCAGGTTCAATTTGTCCCTGAATGCTTCGATGGGTATCCCTGAGTCAGAAGTAAGCTCTGAGCACAGCTGTGTGTGGCCAAAAAACAAACACAATAGGGGCCAGAGAGAGAGACACAGCTCAGAGCATATGCTCTGCATGTAGGACCCCTGAGTTCGATCCCCAACACCACATGGTTTCCTAGCCGTGTCAGAGAAAGCTCCATCACCTAGCCAGAAGCAGTCCCCTGTTATTGCCAGGTATTGCCCCCCAAATCAGAGATATACATATTTGTGTGTTTCTCCACAGAAAGATGTGTGTATGCATGTATATATGTATACACACATATATATGTATGCATGTGTAAACAGGTATACATACATACATACATACATACACACAAAATAGAAATGCCATGATAGCACTCCCACAACTAGGTATTTACCCAAAAGAAATGAAAGGGTCTCAGACAGGTATCTATATGCCCACATTCATATCAGCACTACTTACAATTACTATAATGTGAAGCAAGGTAAGGGTTGATTAAAAGATGGGAGCCAAAGAGATAGTACATCAGGCAGGCCATTCACCTTGCACGAAGCTGACCCAAGTTCAATCCCCGGCACCATGCTGGGTCCCCCACGCTACACCAGGCGTGACCCCTGAGTATAAAGCCAGGAGTGAGCCCTGAGCACAGCCAGTTATAGCCCAAAAATAAACCAAAAAAGGAAAATAAACAAAATGTATATTCACATACAAATTATTATTGAACCTTAAAAAAGGGAGGAAATAACATGCTACAGAATAGATGAACTCTGAGAGCACCAACCCAAACGAAATAAACAGGGCACAAAAGGAAAAATACAACATGATTTCATTAAGTACCCAGAATACTAAAAATCCTAAAGACAGAAAACAGGTAGTGGGTGCTGGGAGGAGGGTATGGGCAAGGGGAGATGCTGTTCAGTACACAGTGAAGAGCGAGAGGGTGGATGCTAGTGCTGGGCAAGCAATAATGTGAATGTACTTATATGTGTACTTTGAATGATACGCTGAAAAAAGGGCAAAATAGAGGCCAGGGCAACAGTACAGCAAGTAGGGCACTTGCCTTGCATGCAACTAACCTGTGTTCACTCCCTGGCACTCCGTGATTCCCTGAGAACCATCAGGTGTGGCCCAAAAACAAAAAAAAACGAAAAATGGGCACACTGGTAAATTTTGTTGTGTTTAACACAATTTTTATTGGTTTTGGTTTTGGAGCCGTATCTAGCAGACATTAGGGTTGACTCCTGATGGACTCAAGGACCAGATGGATGCTCGGGACTGAACTCAGGTCGACTTGGTACAAATCAAGCTTCTTATCTGCTGTGCTACCTCTCCAGCACCTTAACACAATGCTTAAAGAAAAGAAGGGCTAGAACCGCCAGGACTGGTTCCTGAGTGCAGAACCAGGAGTGACCCCTGAGCATCGCCAGATGTGACCCAAAAAGCCAAAAAAGAAAAGAAGGGCTAGAGAGAGTATAGGGGTTAAGGTGCTTGCCTTGCATGCAGCCAACCCCAGTTTGACCCCCAGCATCGCATATGGTCCAAACACTGCCAGGGATCACTCATGAGCAGAGCCAGGAATAATCTCTGAGCACTACCAGATGTGACCCCAAAGTTCCCCCCCAAAAGAAGGTTGAACAATACTAGGGCTGTTTAAGGAAGAATAAGAACAAGTTTGGAAGTAAGAAAGACTAAGTGCACAAAACAAAGACAGAAAACCAGTCCCCAAACTCAATACCTTTAAGTTTGGTGTAGCTGTGAAGGAGAGGGTCTGCAGAAACCATGCATGGCCACCAAGGGTAACCGGACACTTTGGACCACACCAAATCACCCACATTGTATTTCAACAAGTGGTCTTTGTCTCCTGTAGTATTTAGACAGGACTCTTTCTTAGACGGAATCTGAAAATGAACAAAAGAAGTTTACCATATATCCACTAACAATTCCAATATCCAGCCTCTCACCCATTTAAGATTTGAGAGAAATCAAACTAGAGGTTTGAAATATACAAACATGCACTTCTAAAGCAGGAGGGCGTTTCTCCTCACTCAATTTTACTGAAACTCTCTTGTACTAAACGGGTCAGCACAGAGCCTGGAACATGGTAGGTGTCCGACATTAGGACCACAATGGTATAGTCTCCTTGGTCTGCTGGGAGGTGCATTGCTCAATAAGTTGAACAATGTCCAGGGGCAGGAGAGATAGGACAGCAGGAAGGGAGTTTGCCTTGCATGTGGCCAAGCTGGGTTCGATCCTCAGCATCCATATGGTCCTCCAAGCACTGTCAGGAACGACTTCTGAGTGCAGAGCCACGAGTAACCCCTGGATTGCCCTCCCGCCCCCCCCCCCCCAAAAAAAAGTGTCCATAGAACTCTACAACCTGGGACCAGAAGTGATATAGCGGATAGGGCAATTGCCTTGCACATGATCCCTAGCATCCCATATGGTCCCCTGAGCACTCAAAAGCCAAAAACAATCCTACTACACCCACAGGCATAACCATCCTGTACCTCAGTCACATGCCCGTCAGTTCTCTAGAAGACACGCATCAACCAATGCAGCGAGGAATCAGGAGGGTGCACTATGTTCCAAATTACTTTTTATCTAAGTTCTGTAAGTCCTGGCAGCTTCTCCATGCTCAACAGCTGAAGGCTGCCAGGGGACCAGCCTCCCTCCACCAAAAGTCAGCATGTGAATTCCTGAACCTTCCCAAAGAGTTCAAGTCACTTGGGGAAAAACACTGGGCTTATTTGGGTCTTCATTTCCTCATCTCAAAACCAAGAAGAACCTTGAACTCTCACTGGTTGTTGCCAAGGCCCATGTGTAAGACAGTAAAGGCCAGCATGTAAACACTTTCATTTCACATGAACATCTGTAAATTTAAAAAAAGGGGGGGGGGGGAATGTTGGGCCATACCTAGCAGTACTCAGGACTTAGTCCTGGCTCTGCATTCAGGAATTACTACTGGCAGTGCTTGGAGAACCATATGGGGTGCCAGGGATTGAAACTGGGCTGGCAGCGTGCAAGGTGAACACCCTACGTGCTATGCTATCACTCCAGTCCCTGTGAATAAAACTTTAATTCTCAGACTGGTCCACATATCCCAGTTTTGTTTACTGTGCTTCCTAAAACACATCACAACCTTACAAGGATGAGAATCATTATCCCCCTCAACTTATGATAGAAAATTTAGGCGATTTACCCAGGTTATAACAAAACCAAGTGGTAGTGCAGGAAATAATGGGCACCAGCCTCTTTCCTCCTCTATGGAAGACACGCAGCTCATCATGGCCAGAAAGCTCCATACACTATACTACCAGTCCAGCCTGGTACTCTAAGCAAGTATCTTAAAATTTTGCCATTATCAGACTCTGATAATGGATTCTGCTTGCACTGTCTCATGCCTGGGTTTCAAAGGGTAATAAGAGTGCTACCCAAGAGCTGGACCTGGGTAATCAGAGAATTCTCACTCTCCCCTTTAGCTTTAGGTTATGTCCTCTGCTTGCCTGTCCTCTGCCCAGATTGCCCAAGGACAGTTCTCACATAGTATCCATGAGAGAAAATGTGTGGCTGAGACAATCTGGACAGAGCATATGTCCAGTTAAGGCCTCTATATAAACCTCTCAGATCTGGCAAGAGTGGCAAGATACACCAAAATTTGCCTGTGGATGCCTAATAAATAGCCCTGAAGTCTGTCCAGTGGGTTACTGCCACCGACTCAAAAAAAAAAAAGAAAAAAAAAAAAACATTGTACGTGTGTGCTTGCCTTGTACGTGGTTGACTCCAGTTCAATACACGCCTGGCCTTCAAAGCCCGGGTGAACATGGAGGCTGTATTGCCCTCCTTCCCAGATACTCTCTCTAGCTCATACTCACTGAATTTTACTCATACTCCATAGGACTTTTCTTTTTTTTTAATTTTATTGAATCACCGTGAGATAGTTACAAGCTTTCATATGTGGGTTAAAATCAAACAATGATCAAACACCCATCCCTCCACCAGTGCACATTCCCCACGACCAATACCCCTGGTGTACCTATACCCCCCCTTTCCCACCCTTCCCTGCCTCCATGGCAGACAATATTCCCATACTCTCTACTTTCGGGCAATTATGGTTTACAATGCAGATACTGAGAGGTTATCATGTTTGGTCCATTATCTACTTTCAGCACCCATCTCCCATCCTGACCGGTTCCTCCAAGTCATCATTTTCTTAGTCTTCATCATTTCTCTATTTCAGCTGCCTTCTCCCCTTTGCTCATGAGGCAGACTTCCAGCTATGGAGCAATCTTCCTGGCCCATGTATCTACTATCCTTAGGTGTCAGCCTCATGTTATGTTGTTTTATACTCCACAAATGAGTGCAGTCCTTCTATGTCTGTCCCTCTCTTTCTGACTCATTTCACTTAGCATGATACTCTCCATGTCTATCCATTTATAAGCAAATTTCGTGACTTCATCTCTCCTAACAGCTGCATAGTATTCCACTGTGTAGATGTACCAAAGTTTCTTTAACCAGTCATCTGTTCTAGGGCACTTGGGTTGTTTCCAGATTTTGGCTATTGTGAACAGTGCTACAATGAACATATAGGAACAGATGTCATTTCTACTGTGCTTTTTTGCATTCTCGGGACATATTCCCAGAAGCGGTATTGCGGGATCACATGGAAGCTCAACTTCTAGTTTTTGAAGAACTATTCATATTGGTTCCAGAAAGGCTGCACTAGCAGGCATTCCCACCAACAGTGAAAGAGCATCCCTTTTTCCCCACGTCCACGCCAGCACTGGTTGCTTTTGTTCTTTTGAATGTGTGCCAGTCTCTGTGGTATGAGATGGTATTTCACTGTTGTTTTGATTTGCATCTCCCTGTCATAGGACTTTTCATACATAGTGATATGAATGACATTCTTCTGTCATTAAGGGACGGTTCTTGGGGCTGGAGCAATAGTCCAGTGGGTAAGGCACTTGCCTTGCACATGCCCCAAGCACCGCCAGGAGTGATCCCTGAGCACAGAGCCAGGTGTAAGCCCTGAGCACTGCTGGGTGTGACCCAAAATCAAACCAAAACGAAGATAGGGTCCTCCTCCCACCACTGATGAGTGAACACTTTTTCACAACAGTTAAGTGCAGAGTTCTGCACTAGGTAGGAACCTATCAGGGCACCTCAGAGAAATCAGGTAGTGGGAAGGACAGAGAGACAAAGGCACAGCACAGCCTGCTTACAATCCACAGCGGGCACGGGCTCTAGGGTCACAAAAGCTAGGGAGATGGCTCTAAGTGTGATAGCATACAAAAGGCCCAGTTCAATCCTGGTGCCTGGTGATCCTCTAAGCACCAACCAAGAGGGACTCCCAACTGGGAGCTCAACATTCTGGGCACACCCCCACCCCTTGCAAAACAAAAAGCTGCTCTTTGGAGAAGAGATTCATCACAGCCTATAAAGGTTGGACAGACAGGGTTTAGAAACTGATTTTTTCCTCTTTATGGACATCGTGATTCTGAACATTCAGTTCTCCAAATCTCCCATCCGGCTTGGCAGACAGCAGTGAGGCTTAAAGGAAGCAAGCATGGATGATGGGTGACCCTGGAACCCAATCACAGCCCCAGCTACATCATCATAGCCCTGTTCCCCAGGGAAAGCTGAGGAGCACCCCTGTCATCACCCCAGCTAAGGGAGGGGCCTGTGTTCACCTCATACCGGCTATACCTCAGTCTCCCTTCTCCAGACAGGCTCCCCACAAATACCTTTTGATCGGAGGGGCTGGAGATCTTGGATACCAGAGCTGCTTCGACAAGGCCCTGTTCCAGTAAGGAGTCATACTTGATGCTTCTCTTCCTGTTCCTACGCGCCTTGTTTTCTGTTTTTTGTATGCCGTCTTCTGTCTGGGATACAGCAGCAGCGCTATCACCACAAATGGATGATTCAAAAAGAGGTTTCCCATTCATGTACGTTTTGGTGATTTTCAGCTTAATTTCTGGAGAGCCGTTTTTGATAGTGGTAGTGTTAGGTGGTGTCCCAATTCCTTTCATTTCCTGAGACTCAAAACGCAGCTTGGCATCATGAGCACCAGGTTCTCCGTTAAACACCCGGGATGTTAAATCTTTCAGCTTCTCCGTTGGAATAAAGGGAAGTGCATCATGGCCATTAAACTTTTGCATGACCCCCTCATGCAGACTGGTAGAAAGCTGTGCTTTGCTGAGAAACACAGAGCACTCACGACTGACCTCACAGTTCTGAGTCTTCCCATTTGTATTGCCAAGGATTTCTGGCGCCTGCTTCATCTTTATGCACTTTACAACTTTATGAACAGAAAGAGGACTCTTTTTGATGCTAAATTCCATTCAACCCAGATGCTTCTGTTCTTAAAACACTACAACAGTTGGAAAACAAGAAAAAGAAACATATCAGTACATGGAAAAGTGCAACATCATTAATCATCCAGAAAATACAAATTCAAACCACAAGATACCAGCTCACACCCACTGTAAGGACTGTCATCCCTGATATGCACTGTTGGTGGGACTACATTAGTGCAGCCACAGGGAAAGCAATATAGAGGTTCTACAAAAATGTACAGAAATTATCGGTTCAGCAATTTCACTTCTCAGGATTTATCCAAAGAAAATTAAAATACTAACTTACAAGGGACAGAACGATGACAGGGTGTTTGCCTCACACGTGGCTGACCCAGGTTCAATCCCCAGCACCCCACAGGGTCCACTGAGCCCCACTGGGAGTGATCTCTGAGCACAGAGCCAAGAATTATGTCTGAGCACCACCAAGCGTGACCCAAAAACAATCACTCACTTACTAATTCAAAAAAAATAACACAACATTTCACGGTCATTAAAACATTATTTACAATAGCCAAGACAAAGAAGCTATCTAAGTATCCACCAATGACACTGGATAAAGGTGGCAAGATACATCCAAACACTTAACAGGGAATATATGTCCCCAGGCCCTCTTATCCTGGCTGAGGACACCAGAGAGAAGTCCAGAAACATGCCACAGTCACCTGGCCAGCAAAGTTTATGCCCAGATTGTCCAGGGCCAGGGAGAGCTCCAGCAGTAGAGAGCACATGCCTGGCAAGGCCAAGGTGCTAAAGTCAATCCCTGGCACCACAGGACTGCTAAGCATGACCATGTCTCCTTATTATATAGTGCCTTTGGAGTACTACCAGGAACACTGATCACCAGGTTTGAACACCAAATCCTCATGGTCACACCAAGACCTGAATATTGCCAGAAATGACCACACACCCTCAGGTACCACTGCAGATACTCCTCAATCCCCTAACTTCTTTAATCTTCCATTTCTTGGTATGGTATTAGTTGCAGATTGGTGAGACACACATGTACACACAGAATGGACAATTAGAAAGTGAGAAAGCACCCAAATCAGTTTGACTTTATGCTAAGGAGAGTATCCTCACTTCCATCACCCATCCGCCTGAAATGGAGTTCTACAGGAACAGGCAACTGAATTTAGCACCAGCTGAAGATGAACTGGCTGAAGCAACACTGCTGAGTCATACGTGACCTGCTCACAATGTGCTATGATGGATGCATGAAGCCCAAATACAGAGAGGGAAGGTTTTAATACCCCTCTAGGGTCTGGAGAGATAATGTACCCATAAGGTGCTTGGTCTGCCTACAGCTGACACAGGTTCAATCCCCACTAATACGAATGGTACCAGAGTACTACCAGGAGTGATCCATGAACATCAAGCCAGGAGAAGCCCAGAACAGAGTCAGGTGTGACCCAACCTGTCCCTACACGACCCCCCCCCCCAAAAAAAAATCAGACCCCTCTAGCTAATGTGTAATGATACGAGTGTGGACTACATAGCAATTCCATATAGTACACATACTACAATCCCACAGGGGCACTGATGAAGGAACCAAAACCCCAATGGTGCCAAGCAACAAGAATTGGAATCACTGATGCAGCTGGGAAGGCAGCATTCAACAGAAGCAGACACAGAGAAGCTGCCAAGCGGCATAGGTCTGACAGTTAAGCTATTTAGGTCGAGCAACATGGGGTTATCTGGTGCCAGGGAATGAACTTGAGGCTGAGGGTCTGATCCTTGGGATTGCCAGAGGTGACAGTGAGCACTACCAGGTGCCAGGTGAGCACTGCGTACCACCTCCCCCACAAAATTAAAAAATACGTAACTGAAAGGCACTAGAGAAAATCAAAAGCAAGGAAACAATGAGTGGGGTCAGTTCCCACAAGCAAGGAGTCATGGGGCTGAAGAATCAGTGCAGGGGAAGGCGTTAGGCATCCTGCAGATCATGGTTCAAATTCCTGGCACCACATTTGGTCCCCTAGCTTGGTCCACCAAGCACTACCAGGGGTCACTCATAAGCAAAAAGTAAAATGACCTGAGCACAGCTGGATATGGCCAAACCTCACTCCATCCCTCACTTGATTTCTTATAGAGACATCTATAACCTTACTACAGAACTGAGTTAACTGACAAAATGAAAGTACAGCGGGAAGGGCACCTGCCTCGCATGTGGCTGATCCAGCTTCCATACTGCCAAACGTAGTCCACAAATCAAAAATAAAAACCACCGGGGCCAGAGAGATGGTACAGCAAATAAGGTACTGGTCTTGAATGTGGCCGACCCAGGTTTAATCCCTGGCATCCCATAGGGTTCTTGAGTGATCCCTGAGTGCCAGGAGTGCTCCCGGAGTGTAGAGGCAGGATTAAGATCACAGCACAGTTGGCTGTGGCCCAGAAAATAAAAACAAAGAATTGGGTTTGCCTGGGGGGGCAGAAGGGGGTGGATGGGACAGGTTCTTTGTGATACTGCTGGGTAGAAGTAGACACTCTGGTGGGGGGTGTGGAATAACATTCATAAAACTACCAATAACATAGGACTGGAGTGATAGCACAGTGGATAGGGTGTTTGCTTTGCACATGGGTGGCCCAGGTTCTATCCCTGGAACTCAAGCCTGCCAGGAGTGATTCCTGAGGATAGCGCCATGAGGGAGGGAGGGAGGGAGGGAGGGAGGGAGGGAGGGAGGGAGGGAGGGAGGGAGGGAGGGAGGGGAGGGAGGGACAGACAGACGAACTAGGCAGGAGAAATAGCCCAAATGTGATGGCAGTCATCTCAGTCCTGTATGAGACCACATATGGTCCCCCTGACACCACCTGGGGTCACAACACCTGAACACAGAGCCAGGATTAGCTCCTGAACACCAACAAGTACTCAAAAAAAAAAATCAAGTGAGAGATGAAGTTCAATGGTAGAATATTTGCTTGGCATGTGTAATGTTCTGGATTCAATTCCTAGGACCATCAAAATAAAAAGGAGCAAGGGCCGGGTGGGACTGAATGCCACATGGTAGGGACAGGGAATCCTGACATGTTTATAGTCATCAAGACATTACCCTGAGTGAAATCACCAAAGGACCAATTCTGTGTAATCTTGGTCACAGGAGGTTCCTTGAGAAGTAAGATAACAGAAAACAAATGATTAGGCCAGAGACTGGGAGGTGTGTGGGGAGTTGTTTATTGAAAGAGATTCAAGAGATCAAAATTGTTATGAGACAGGCTGGTGAGACATACGCGTAAGGTAAGGTACTTGCCTTGCAAGTGGCCACCCCAGGTCCGATCTCTGGTATTGCATATGATCCTCCAAGACTACCAGGAGTAACCCCAGAGCACAACCTCCCCTCCCACAAATAGTTATGAGGCCCAGAAAAAACATGTTAATGTGCTTGCCTTGCATGCAGTCAACCCAAGTTCAATCCCCAAGCACCATTAGGAGAGACCACTACCTAGCACAGAGCCAGGAGTAATTTCTGAACACCTCTGGGTAGAGCACAAACCTCCCCCACAAAAAAAGAAAGAAAGAAAGAAAGAAAGAAAGAAAGAAAGAAAGAAAGAAAGAACCCATTGTTGAGTTTAATAGCATAAGACATGTAAAGTTTGGATCATAAAGAGTTCAGTAAATTCAATTTAAAAGGGAATTAGAAGAGCAGAGCCCCAGAACTATCAATCTGGGGCTGGAGAGTGCTTGCCTTGCACACAGTCAACTCAGGTTCGATCTCCAGCACCACATATGGTCCCCAAGCCTTACAAGGAGTGATCCCTGAGCGCAGAGTGTGGAGTTAACTCTGAGCACATCAGGTATAACACCCCCTCCCCCCCCAAAAAAAACAATCAAAAGACAGAATTCATATACCCACCCAGAAAAGGAACAAATGAGACAGAAAAGAATATTTGGGAATTAAGATCAAAAAAAAATTCCCAGACCTAATATAAATTCACAGATTCACAGAAACCCCCGGCAAACATCAAACAGGAAAAACAAAAGAACACACCCAGCAGCACAAAACGCTGAGAACAGAAAATCCCAGAGGCAGAAAGAACTTCACTAAGAAAAAAAAAATCCCTCACATGCTAGGGGAAAAGGGAGCTCAGATAGAGAAAGGAGCACCAAATAAAGGATGTTGGGAGGATCCTCCAGGATGGGAGAAGCATGCTGAAAGTAGATAATAGACCAAACATGATTGCCACTCAATGTCTCTTTTGCAAACCATAACACCCAAGAGGAGAGAGAGAACAAAAGGGAATGCCCTCCCAGAGGCAGGGTGGGATGGGGGCTCTGAGGGGGTGGAAGGGATACTGGGATCCGTGGTAGTGGGAAATGGGCACTGGTGGAGGGATGGGATCATTGTATAATTGAAACCCAAGCACAAAAATTTGTAAGTCTACAACTGTACCTCATGGTGTCTCACTAATAAAAATTTTTAAAAATTTTTTAAAAATAAAGTTGTATCATGTTAAAAAAAAAGAACAAAGCAAATGCATTTTCAGAGAAACATAAACTAAGATACTGTTCTTAGTTTGAAGATGCAAATCTCCACAAAATGCTGAAAAGAACCTGAAGTTTGAAGAGAATAGGCAAACTTTATTTTCTCTTTAGGAGGAGATGAAGACACCAAAAATGGTGAATTTATTTGTTCCACTTAGTTCCTCCTATCTTTTTTTCTTGCTTTTTGGGTCACACCCAGCAATGCACAGGGGTTACTCCTGGCTTTACACTCAGGAATTACTCCTGGCAGTGCTCAGGGGAGACAATATGGGATGCTGGGAATCGAACCCGGGTCAGTTGCGTGCAAGGCAAACACCCTACCCGTTGTACTGTATCTCCAGTCCCTGTCCTATCTTTAAAAAAAAAAGTCAAACTAACCCAAAAGTCAAAACATTTTGAGTTATAACTTGATATAATACACATGTCAACTGCAACATGAAAAGTATAACTAAGCCTAGACAATTGCAAGGTTCTTACCTTTACACCAACACCAACACTAGACTATGATGAGTTATTGGCATAAATGCAATTCTATTT